TTAAGGGAATAAAATTGTGTTGCAAATCTTTAAAAGTTGTTATGTCTTTAAAAAAACACACCAAGGTATTACCATATACATATATTTGGGGGAAAAAATTCGGTCAGACAAAAGTTCTTTCGGTCAGACAAGAATTGAATGTTTGTCTGACCGAATGTCAGGCAAATTTTTCAGCAGTTTCGCGAAGCCTGCACAGGGTGAGAAAAATGTGCAAGCTGACCGAGATTCCAACCCAGGACCCTTGGAATACCATATCGCGGCTCCACATACTGACAGTCTGTGCGCAGCACTACCAACTGAACAATCCAGCCACTTACTAACTATCTCCCATAAATGGTGAACAGTTCTGAACCATGACAAAAACCAACGGGACTTTATCAAAACATTATAATTATTACAGATGAATCCGGGTCAGCTCGGCCCTAAAACGTACTCGGCCCCCGAGTCAGCTCGGCCCTATTCCAACTCGGCACGGGTCAACTCGGCCCACTTTTTAATTAGTAATATTAAGGTTTGTGTTATCCCTATTTATTGTTATTGTGAAATTATTTATAAAACACGGATTGACAGTTTCAGAATAAGCAGCAGACAGGCTTTTCTTATCAGTAGAATTGCGAGTAAAGATAACCGATTACGTATCTCAGTGTATTTCTGACTCGTAGGTTTAACCATAAATTTAAATACATTCGGTGTCAAACAATGTGTTGAAATATATACTGAGAGGAAGCTAAGATCACCAGCTTTTAATTGGTGTAGCAAATTTTAAAATCGGACATTTAATCGCCCCAAACACGGTTGATTTTTCATTCGATATACCACGGATTTGTAATATAAATCCGTGGATATACCTCGGTTATTTACGTAGTTCAACAGAGAGTGTTTATAAATATAAGACAAATAAATAACAATTATTTTCTAAACATACTTTATTTTGGCAGAAATACAATGTGTAATTATATAATAATAAGATATTTCTTATTATTCATTTACCGTAACAACATGCAAAGCAAAGTTAATACGTCATATATATTTTGTAAAGTGGGCCGAGTTGACCCGTGCCGAGTTGACCCATGCCAAGTTGGTATAGGGCCGAGTTGACTCTTTTCCTTACAGATATGGACAGAAACTGAGAAAGCCTTTTAAAAAGATTTCTTTTAAATACGATGAGTCAATAAAGACAATTGGAATAAGTATAATCACTGTTGCACAGTGTAAAATAAACACAAAGTTGAAAAAAGAAATGATTCATCACAAAAATTATGATTCACAACATATATTTGATTCTCTTAGTCAATAAGTAAATTATGCATATTTCTAAAAAAAATCACGATTTTGATGAAACATTCACTCACCTCATGTTCGACGCTATATCGCTCTTTGAAATTGAAGTCCCGTTATTATAAACTTAAGCTTTATCTATAGTTAGAATAGTAAAAAACATGAAATGCTTCAAAATTTATTTTTAAACCATACAAAATTTGTTTTTTCTCTGTCTTCCGTGTTGACAATTACATAGACGCCATCTTGAAGATGGGACTAAAACCCGTAGCTGCCTTTTCCGTACTGACAATGCAATCCACTCCACGATGGTCATACTTAATTTACATATACATGTTAATTGTTAACAAAAGAGTAACTGACATTTAAATACAAATTAAACTTAATCAATGAAAAGAGTGTAGGTATCACAGACAATACAATTTAAAAAACTATATTTTTTGAAAAATGTAATAAACAAATAATGAAAGCAGGGTCTTCTATTTGAAAGACCCCGATGAAAGGTATTGCACTTGAAAGATATATTTGTACGTCGTCTTTACAAAAATCACACTTATTACTGAAAACAGCAAAAAAAAACTGCAAGAAAAACAAACTGACTAACAGATTTGATCTGACACAAGATTCAGAGCGGACAAAATGTTTTTAATCTCTGACATAGTCTTGGTAACACATTCCAAAGAGCGCAACCTTTAAGCACGGCTGTTAGTTAAAAATGATTTTATACAAATTCACGAAACCGTTCTAGAGTTATTGAAATGGCCTTCAAATGAGAACTGTATTTATATGCAAACAAATCGTAGATTAAAGTTCAGAAAGCTAGTATAACTTATTAGATACAACGATCCAATTAATCAATGTAGTGATAAATGTTCTCCTTTTATATTGTTGTCCACGTGTGACCATGTTGATGTTGTGTGTAGATTCATCCGCTTTCTTGTCAGATACCCCGAATATTATATTTCCGAGCCATATGGGTTTGGCGAATGCTTGTTTACCTTACCAGTAAATCCACAAACGAATAAATTTCATTATTTACTTTCACAATGCAGCAAAATTTTTCAGATGTAAAAATAACGAGTAATCACCTGATGGAAAACTAATATTAAGTTCTATATACCACGCGTGTTCCTTCCTAAATTTTTGTTTTAAGTTATTGTCTAAGGTCTGAAGTGCAAAAATTCAATTTGTGAATATATTCTCGAGTTATTTTTTTTTAACTTTTCAGTGTGGATACTCTCTGAATTTCTGAATTAAAGTAGAGAGAAAGTGGTTCCTTCAAGAGTCTAGTTTTAATTTCTGCCCTTTGCATATCGTTTGCATTATGCCTAACAGTGTGATACATGCGTTTTATCCATTTGGAGAGCTTTTTGATTTTTTTAAAATTTCATCCATCTTTTCTTTTTGTACCTTGTGTTTTGTTGCTGTTCTGATGATTTATTTGGCGGAGAAGAAGTTGGGGTGAATTCATGAAGAAGGTATTAATAAAGGAGATTTTCTTGTCTAAGGGAATATATCTAGAGCGCTAGAAACTGTTTAACAACAAATTGTCTTTTTGCATTTTCAAAATCCAAAGTTACTAGTGATGTCAGTATATTTTGTATCTGCGGTTAAGATTTTTATGCTTGAGTTATAGAGAGGTGTTTTTTTGCGAGTAATAGACTTATATCTGGTAAGTGCAGAATTTGTTTAAGATCGTTCACTTGGAATATTTCTAGTTTTCCTTGTCTGTCATGGAAAGTGTAACTTTTGTGTGTTTGTTATCCCTAGATTTTGTATCATCTAAGTTAACAATGGGACAATATAGTGCTTGCAATTTGTTTTGGGGAGTTGCACCACCGGGTGACTGTGCTTTTAAGTGATTTATTCTGTATCTATGAACCTGACACTGGATAAAGGGATATCCTCTGAAAACAATTAATACAAAATTGAAAAAAAATATATATTTGATCTACACAAACTCAGTTTTATTGATTCTGCTAATAAAAGATAATGTAAGGCGAAACACAGAGATGTAACATGTGGGATAATAATTGTGCATAAGGAAACGCCTTTAAACTCGTCTTCGATTTGTTACTATTCTAACGCTTGTAGTAAACTGACAACATCCCATCCTGTCTGAAACATTTAAAAAGTAAAATTTTGATTGAAAAGTACCCTATCCATTCCACTATAGAGTGTTTTTCAGTTAAATATATCGATCAGTAAGGTCCGTCTATGCTTTCAAAAACATTCGGGACACCTGAGTAACAAGTAACACCATCTACTTTACTTTCAGGTGATTGCATGCTTCTTGTTTTCTCTATAACTGTGATGATTTTGACTTGTTAGTATTTTTCCAGTATACTACTGGATGTTTTCTGACTTGTTTCCTCTAGTATTCTTATAATGAATTTTAGGTTGTTTCTTTGTTTGTTTTGTTTTTGCCTTTGTCTTTCAGTTTGAACTATTGATTTATTTTATTCATTTGTCAACTCTAAATGTAACTATTCATGTTAAACATATTAAATCAACGGATTCCGTACATGGTATGGACTATTCGCTGAAAATATAAAAAAGTCTCTAAATATAACTTTCATCTACAGCTGGTTTACAGTTGCGATTACATTATTATATTTCATGGAAAATTAGTGATGGAATAAATGGAATTCTTGGAAATATTAGAAATGAATTAATTAATCATTTAACTATTGAAATAAATTCCACTAAAGCTTTATCAAGGAAGAAATATGTAAACATATGATAGTAAAAAATATGATAAACAAGATAAACAAGGAAAGGCGGCGTTCAATGAACGCAACCCCCAAAGGTCATCAAGGAAGATCAAAGTTTATAGAACGTAGCTTTTAATATGCAGTCATAAAGACAGACTGGAAAGACACGGAGTTAAAAATATGTGATGTCATGACTTTTAAATGCAGAAAAGAGTAGTCACTATATTCATATTTAATAAAAGGACAACAACATTTTTTTGAACTTGTTATTTATAGTACTTTGTCTATTTCATGTATGAAGAATGTTTTTAGAAATTTGTCTTCCAACATTCAACTTTCCTCTTGATAAAAAAAAGTTTGATATCTTTCATTCTCTCCTCGAATGATCTTTTTATCGGCAGTAACATATTTGTGCTTAGAATGACAAGAATTTAAACATCTTTAAAATTGGTGTAACCCCGGTACAGAATTAGACCTAGTCCGTTGTAGTCTTTTTAATTTTGAAGTTGCCCATTTTAAGTCACTTCTGGTATATTTAAGTATATTTTTATAACTGCGTGTTGTCATTTCCAAGTACTTTAAAGGTTGTATTTTGTGTGTCTTGGCAGGAATTCACCTTTGGGTGAAATATTTCAGGAAGTACTATTACATAGATGCAGAAAAAGTCCAGTTGCTAATTATTATTTTTTTGTTATCAAAATTAAGCTTGATAGTAATCAAATTCCTGTCCCGGATATGATATATCCATAATATAGCCTTCAATATTTGGTGGATTTTCTATAGGATAATAGGGCGAAAATTCAGTGGGCCGTCTTAAATTCCCAAGTAGTATAATACGGAAACTGTACGATACATGACAGGATATATACCTTTATAACGGAAAAAAAAAGAGAAAAAAAACTTTAAAATATTTGCAGAAATAAAAATTGTATGTTTTTAATCAAATTGTGTTTTAAATAATGATATATGTTGTTCCTGAATAATCTAAAAAATATAAACTTTCAAGATTCTTAAATTTACTCCGTATCATAAATTACACTTCCGGTTATAGACACGTATTGATTTTCTCACATTTTCCACAAATTTTAGCGAAAATATGACTTTCCTAACTTCATGGGAAGAATTTTCCAAGGCAGCTGAAAGGCTTTATGTGAATGACCCTGCCAAAGTGAGTTATTTTCGGGTGAATAAATAACATATATTTATTTCTTCTACTTTCACTTTTGATGCAAGTGAAAAGTAGTCGGATAAAATGTGTGTTCGAGTATTTGACAGCACCTTTTTAGTATTATTGAATTAAAGAGAAAGCTGATAAAATTCTAAATTGGTTTAATCCACCATGTTTCATGTAAAGTAGTTGTCATAACAGAAAGATTTTTCCATAGATTTTTAATATCTCGCAGGATTTGTTTTCCATACAATATGCATTATGCATAGACTAAGAACTAATGCCTTCACTCCCAAGACATTTCACTATTGAGATGTTTCACTCCCAAGACAGTTCACACCCAGACGTTTTACTCCCAATTTGTAATTGTATGGACGTTTCACTTCCATTAAAAAAGAAAAAACATTTAAAAAAAAAAAATGTTTATAGATTTAATAATTTAGGAAAGTTAACTAGGTCTAGTATATTGCCAGATTAGTGCATGATGCACCAGTATGTGTATTATGCACTAATTGGTGTATTTTATGATGCACCATTATTTTGTAAATATAGCAGTGTGAATTGTAGCATAGATAATATTCATAGAAATATCCTGAAACTAAAGATATTGATGTAAAACCTGGTAATTCTTGCACTTTTTGAAAATCTGCATGATACACTAATTGGTGCATCCCAAAATTAGAACTGCTTATTTTTTTTTACTTTCCTGGCAAGAGACAATTTTAAAACTAAGTAAACCCGGTACAAGTCAACCCGGCCCCAAGTCAACCCGGCCCCAAGTCAGCCCGGCCCCAAATTGGTCAACCCTGCCCCAAACCAATGTTATTTCTGGTCAACCCTGCCCCATGTTTTTTTATTATTTATTTTGCTTTAAAATGTAAACAATTATCAAGAAATAAAATAAAAATTAACAACAAAAACAACAACAAAAGTTTAACAGTGACAGGGCTCACGCTGTCGGTCGCCATAGTCGCCATTTGCGATTATTTTATAAGATTGGCGATTATTTTTGCATTTTGGCTACAAAATCTGGCGATTACTTTTTACTTCCAGCAGTGTTTATATAAGGTATAAAAATCGATAAAGAATGCAGTAGACCTAAATAACACCAGCGGGGTGGATTTAATTGAGTGTCAACTTTTTACCGGTCACGTGCTGCTTACTATATTGCCCGAGGTGATAAAATACATGCGAGATGTATAATTGATGTATAATTGTATAAGTACTTTAAAGATATTGTCCGGCATTTATAATAGCCATCAAATATACGTCAATTAGCCACAAAAATCGTTTTACAATTGATAAACTGGATATTGACTTACCCAAAATTTACCGTGAATTGCAAATTTTGATTTTTTTTGTTTTAAGCTACTTGACTAAATCGCCAGTGGAAAACAATGGTAAAATATTTAAAAAGTATTAACTTCCAAACAACTATTTGCACAACAACCAAAATTGTGAATATTTCTTCAGAAAACAGAAAAAATCCTATTGTCACATATTTTCGCGTCACCGATAATTTTGATATTTATTTAACGGTGAAATAAGCTATGTTCTGTTTAAAAATCTTTACTACTGTGGCAGAAAATTTGTATTACATTGGTGATGATGATATTTTTCAGTAAATTATTCAGAAAAAAGACAACATTCTTTGAATGAGTTTGCAAACTTGTGTTATTTCTATAGGCTAATATGACCTAGATCTTCTCCAGTTCTGTGTGAAATGTGGAAATTGACAGTGGTTATGGCTGACAAAATTTGATTAGAACAAACAAAAGAAGTTGTCTGATAACAGCATTATGTAAAGTTATAATGAATCTTTAATATTATTGTTAAACAGTAATTATACTAATTATAACGTCTTTATTCTGTTCTATAATAAAAATTAAAGTTGTGGTTCTATTTTAAAAAAAGGTAGTTATCAATATACACAAATGTATCAGTTTATTTGAGTATCCTTATAAAACTGAAAAAAAGTTTTATATAAATGTAATGTTTATTTAATCAACTGCTTATGTTGTTAATCGCTAATTTGTGAATAGTCCGCTAAACTTTTGGCTATTATTTTTTTAAGTTGAAAATATTGGCTATTATTTTATTTGAGCCAGTGTGAGCCCTGCAGTGATATCTTTTATTATTTATTAAATATATAAAAACTTTCAATATTAACAAACAAGCAACACATGCATAATTTACTGTTTTACAATGTCCAATGCATAGTTATACAATGTTCAATGTATAGTTCTACAATTATTACATAATATAGGTAAAATGTAAGAAATTTTTAGTATTTTTTACAATAAATTGTTCATAATACAGTACAAAATGTTTTCAGAGAAGTTATTAACAATATATCTTCATGAGATTTAGCAATTAACAATATGAGATATGAGATATATAGTTAATGTTGAAATAAATTGTTAAATCATGATTTATATATTTTGCATTTCAGAAAGGAGGCAATTTTACATTTTTTAAGATTGTACATTAATCTCGAAAAGTATCCAGACATTATTGAGTTTTATGGTATTCATCTATTCTGTCAGGCACAATATATCCACAATCAATACAGTTATACGTCATAATGACATAAGTGATTAAACACAAAACAATATCAATTTTTCAAACGCTTAATAATATTCCAATACTTTTTACACAGTAAATATTCTTTGAAAATAAGTTAATAAAAAACGAAACAAATATTAAATTAATTATACTGATGAACGTATTCAATAAAAACATTCAAATGAACTGAAAAAAAAGATTGTTGGAAACTTAATTTATACAAACCTTTTAACTCGAAATTCTATGCATTTCTTTCCCTAATTATCGCATTAACACTCACGAAACCATCTTTAATTTACATCGAATAAAGACATGAAAGATACTACCAACTTATTTAAAGGATTTGTTTTCACAGCTATACCTTTTTTGTTGATTGATTGCTTTAAACTGTTTGATTATCACATCTGAATTAATGTTGATGTACATAAATTATAATGTTGATGTTATATAATTATTCGTTATCACTTTTCATTGAAAAATATATATATTGGGGCCGAAATGACCGAATTTGGGGCCGCACTGACCAATTTTGGGGCCGCATTGACCAAATAAAAGTACTGTGGGGCCGGATTGACCAATTATGGGGCCGGGTTGATCAATTTTGAGGCCAGGTTAACTTGGGGCCGAGTTGACTGTAATTCAGTAAACCTGATCAGAATGATAACTAGATATGAAATATGGAAATGAATTTATGTCTGAAAGATATAATTTTTCAGTGGATAAAAACATTAAAATCTCCTGAAGTTCATTCAGATCAGAAGTTATGTCTATTCTTTGTCAATAAAACAGACTATTACCAATGTTATGTGCAGGTGCCAAAACATGATCATAAATAAACAACAAATAATTTACAGAAACTCATTTATCAAAATATTTAAACACTGATCGGTGTATGATTAAATACACCAATTTGTGTATTATATACCAATTTGTGCATGATGCACTTATCTGGCGATATACTAGACCTGTTAACAAATATTTTTTTCATTTAATATTTAGGGGAAATTGAATTTTATGTTTAATTTTTAGCTCAACTATTCGATAAGAATAAGTAGAGCTATTGTAGTACCCTGAGCGTCTGCGTTGGCATAACCACTTATGTTAAAGTTTTTGTAATACCTCAATTTGTAATATCAATAAGAAGTTAATCTTGAATAGGATTATTAAATAACAATTATTTGTTTATTATTGACAGTATGGACTTTAATTTGTAAAGTGATTAAACATTACTACTCTTAAAAGTTAGTGTGAACCTTGGTGAATTTGAGCACCTGGGTGTGTGAAAAAAAGATACATGAAGTTATAAGTCAGTCTGGTCTATAAACCTTAGGGGGGCTTTTGTTTGATGGACCGGGGGCAGGGGGGGCGGCTTTTGTCCTACCTGTACTTTTGATTTGGGGGGGGGGGGGGCGTTTTTGTCCTATGTGTACATTTCATGGGGGTGGGGGGCTTTTGTCCACCTTGTCATTTTTAGATGGAGGGGCTGTTGTGCTGGGGGGCTTTTATCCTACACTCAGTACAATCTGTTGTAAAGTTTTATGCACATCTCATGAATGGCAAAATGTAGTTGAAAGTCTGTTTTAGTGCAGATGTGTAAATTTACGACAAAATTGTAATTTAAATTGTAATTATGGCAGAAATTCCCAGTGGGGGATCTCTAAACTTCATTATGTATTGGGAGATTTTCTTGCATTTCATCTATTTCAATGCAATGTAAGCGGTTTCTATTTGAGAAATTGCTCCCAAGAATGATTTTTAAATAAAACATTATTATGATTTCTGAATTTTCTGTATGTAAATATGGACATTTATGCGTAAAATATGCACATATGTGAGTGAATGGGAACACTGATGTGTTAAGTGCAAATTTATAGATTTGTTATGAATGAATGGGTAAACGCAGCTTCTTGTTTATATTAATGAAAATGAAATTGCTTGAAAGATTAACTTGTATTTTCATTTTTTTCAGTGCCGATTTGTAACAAAATACAGACACTGTGATGGCAAACTTGAAGTCAAAGTGACAGATGATTCGGTGGTAATAACATTATTTTTGATGAACCATTCACTGTTTGCATGCTAGGATTTGCTTGTTTGTTATTGATTTTGAACTGTCTTTTCAGTAATGATGTACATGTAATGTTAAAAACTAGGTAAAAAAGAAACAATGCAGAAACATTAGCTTTTGACAGTGATACATTTATCTTGGAAAAAATGAAAATATATTTGATGAAGCTGACTGGTTTAAACATGTCCATTTCCATTTCACTGTTTCCTGGGACAGAGGGCTTAAGGCTAATTTTATGAATTCTCAAAAATTCAAAAAATCTAAAAAATTTCTTGACTTGAGAAAAAATGACATTCAATATTTTTTAGCTTTACTCTTTTGGCTATCATACCTATTCTTGTGTTAGTGTTCAGTGGTGTAACATTTAGTGAGAAGTTATATGTATTCACTTGAAACTTCATAAATGTTGTCAAGGTCATAATTGGAGTTTATTATCCAAGGCCTATAACTCTGGCATGGATTTTGACTTATGATAGATTTGCCTGCAAAATCTTTACAACTATTAAAAGTATTTACTTGAAACTTCATAGATGAGTTTGGGATACAGTGCTTTTTTCCAACTTTACTGATATAATAAGGCCCAATTGCCAATTTAATATTTGATTATACATGTATTTTGGTTAAAAAGATGATAATTAATGATTTTTAGCTCAACTATTCGATAAGAATAAGTAGAGTTATTGTAGTCACCCGAGGCTCAGCGTCAGCGTAACCACTTACGTTAAAGTTTTTGTAATACCTCAAATATTTTCAAAGTCCATTGACATCTGGCTTTGAAACTTTGCACACTTGTTCAACATCATGACAACAACCTGTAGACAGGAGGAGGTAACTCTATCAAGCAGTTTGAGAGAATTATGCACCTTTTCTGAGTTAGAATTTCGTTAAAGTTTTTGTAATACCTCAAATATTTTCAAAGTCCATTGACATATGGCTTTGAAATTTTGCACACTTGTTCAACATGATGACCCCAACCTTTAGACAGGAGGAGGTAACTGTATCAAGCATTTTGACAGAATTATGCACCTTTTTCTACTTAGAATTTACATTTAAGTTTGCATACCACCTTAGATATTTTCATATTCTATTTACATCTGGCTTTGAAACAAGTTGAAATTTTATACTCTTCTTTGAGAGCATAATAGGACTCTTTCCAAGGCCTATAACTGTAACATGGGTTTAAAGAAAATGTTTGCCCTTTTGTTAACTTAGAAAATTGTACATTATCAAGGCACTATCAAGCACTAAGAATAGTCAAGCATTTCTGTCCTACCGACAGCTCTTGTTGTGAAATATTTAGCTGAGAAACCTTTTAGAATTATCTACAGTTCAGGCTTTCAGATGTTTTTTTTCTTTTTTTTCAGTGTTTACAATACAGAACGGAACATGCTCAGGATGTAAAGAAACTCGAAAAATTAACAAGTCAGTTAATGAGACACATGGCATCCAAAGAGAAATGAGTGCTGTATAAAGATTATGATTTAGATTTAATTTTATTCTTGGTGAACTGAAAAATGGTATGTTGATCATTTGGAATATGTACATTTAGTATTCAGCAGTTTGTAGTAGAGTGACTTCAACAGTGTTATGTTCAGTAACATACAGCAAGAAGAGATACATGTACATATGAACATCATATTTGAACATTTCAAGTGACAAACATATGAGGTAACATTATGAAAAGAATGAGAAAAATATGTAAATGGCAGAATTTACTTTTTATGACAATATCTTTTGTCTTTTTCTAATGGAATAAGTGCTATTTCTGCATATTTTGATATTTTGTAAGTCTTTTGTTGGTAGGTGAAGTACGGTGTACAATATGATTATATATGGTGGGGATAAATCACATCTTTTGCAAACTTCACCACAGTCAACAGTTTTATTCATGAGAACAATATTTAAATTTTCATAAAAATTATTACTTAGCTCCTGCTTTAGAGATGTCTTTATCTTGCAACTATTATTGTCAAAACCCATACAACATAAATTAAACATATATTACATTATTTAGAAGTAAATCTCTACTAGAATTGCTTAAACCATTATGAATTTAAATCTGAACAGTACAAATTTTGTATATGTAAAAAGACTTTTATCAACCATTGGTTGTGATGAATTTGAATTAGCAAAGATTTAGTTCATTATTTCTTGAATATTAATATTAGGAGGATAATAATTTCTATGATAAATGGGTGCTTAATTCCATGTTGTTATCTGTGGAATGTCTATTTTACCATCCTGTGTATCTGTTTCATGAAGTTTGGAATGCTTAACCCTTAACATGTAGAATTTTTATATTAGGTTTGTAATGCTTTGAATTTGGAACAGTCCAGTCAAAGTTTTAGGGATTTCAATATCAAAATAAAGAATTGAGCTACCAACAGTATAGTCTAGTCAGACTGCACATATGTGATGTGTTGGTTCGTCTTGCTCTATGCCGTGGCCAAAGATTTATAAACAAAATTTCTTCTTTAGATCTTGTGAATTATTTTATAATGATTTGTTAGAAAAGAATGACAGATAACTGTAAACATTTAACCTTTTGATCCTTTAGAATAATACTTTGTATGCACTTTGTATTACTGTGAAATTGATATCAATTTTTGGAAGAATATTTTTTTCATGTGTAAATTTGTATATACTTTATCCTTATTGTATTTTATATGCTGTCTAGCATATTAAAGATTATGTTCTATTTAAAGATTTAAATAAAATTGAGAAAGTGATTAGTTATTAGAATTCTTCAGTTATTATCACTTCAGTTGGCAGAGATTTATTGGGGAAAATTGAAATTTTTATTTTGTACCATACTTGAAAATTTCAGTTTGTGTTACTGTTTCTACATAATCAAATATATGTGAAGTATTTTTTAAAGGTTGTGAACTGTGCAAACAACTCAAGCATATATTTTACAAATACCCCCTACAGTGTCTAGAACTTGTGTCTGCTTGTAAACATGCATGAATACTTTGTTAGAAAATATTTTCAAAAAAGTTCAGCATGCTTTCATGTTTTTATAATATGGAAACAGGGGTCTGAAAAATCTTCATGAGTATTTTAGTAAATAATGTGAAAACCAGAAGTTTGTGATTTGGAAAAGAAGTTCATGATATGGATACAGAAGTTTACAACATCTTTAAAATATAACTTTACTGACTGTTTACACTTCAATATCTGTTATGCATTTTATGCTTAGTAGCCGTGACAGCTTTATGTTCAGCTTGGAATCTTCCTTCTCATAGCAGAATTTTTCTTGACCCATTTCCTCCTCAAAACAATTTCTATTTAATATGTGCACATTATTTATATAAGACATGCCATGATACTGAGGCAGTTCTATGAGTACAAGATGAAGATGCCCCAGTTTGTTGCATGTTACATTATCTCACTTAGATCAGTCTAAGCTTGCTAAGGTTTAGATATTATACAGTTACTGAACACTTAGTGAGAATTGCTAGATCTGTTATTGTATTTGGTCTTTGGTTATTTGTCTGTGGTATTACTGGTGATGATTGTCCCCAACCATCCACATACAAACTTGACTATCACTAGACAAAATACTGTGACAAAACAATAAAAGCAACACCAAACAATAATTATGCCCCCCTGCCCCCCCTCCCCCCCCCCCCCCCTTCAAAGGACTGGGGGTATATTGCTTTGCATTTGTCGCCCGTCGAGTCATAGACCAAACTGTTTCCTCTCAGTAACTAAAGAACGCTTTGGCCTAGGAATTTCAAACTTAATATGAGGATTGTTAATGACCAGTAGATGACCCCCTGATTTAGGGGTCAAAGGTTAAGGTCACAAAAATGGTTTCCAGTCAGTAACTTGACAATCCAAGGGCTGTTGGCTCTCAATCTTTGTAGGTGCATTGGCCTTGGCAAGTAGATGGTCCCTATCAATTTCAATTTGGGGTCATGGGGTCCTTGTAGGTAAAAACGGTTTCCAATCAGTAACTTGACAAGCCATGGCCCTTTGACCCTCAAACTTTGTAGGTGTATTGGTCTTGGCAAGTAGATGACCTCTATTGATTTTAGGGTCAAAGTGCAAGGTCACATTGACCTTGTAGATAAAAACGGTGTCCGATCAATAACTTCAGCCCATGGGCTGTTGCCCTCAAACTTTGTAGGTGCATTGGCCTTGGCAAGTAAATGACCCATACTGATTTTGGGGTCAAGGTCATCTTGACCTTGTAGGTAAAAACAGTTTGTAATCAATTACTTGACAACCCATGGGCCCTTGGCCCTCAAACTGCATTGGTCTTGGCCAGTAGATGACCCCTATTAATTTTGGGGTCACAGGTTAAGGTCACATTGACCTTGTATGTCAAAATGGTTTCCTATCAATAACTGGAAAACCCATGGACCATTGAACTTCAAACTTCACAGATGCATTGCCTTTGGTCAGAAAATGAACTCAATGGATTTTTGGGTCAAGGGGTCAGAGGTCAAGATCACATTGACCTTGTATGTAAAAACGCTTTTTGAACAATATCTCAACAACTCATGGGCCCTTTACCTTCAAACTCCAAATATTGATCTTGGCCAGTAAATAATCCCAATTGATTTAAAGGTCAAAGTCACATTGACCTTGTACGTTAAAATGGTTTCCAACCAATAACACAACAACTCAAGTTGCCTTGGCTGATATTTTTTTAATAAACTTAAATGCCTTTCATATACACACTTCAAGGTCTAATGTAATATAACAAATTGGCTGTCATTAAGGAGGCCTATATGATTCATAAAATTTATAGATATATATCATTTGGTAAGATTTGTGATAACTTTGTCATAAAATTGCTGCACACAACTTTTTAGGTCACAATTACCTAGTGACTAGTCATGACCAGTAGATAACCCCTATTGATTTTGGTCACAAGGTCAAAAGTCAATCACATTAACCTGACCATAAGCTGCCGATAGGGAGCATACATGTTTTACAAACATATCTTGTTAACAATTAGATTTCCAACTCATGACTTATAAAATGTCACAATTTTATGCTATCTTTCTAAATATATTCTGAATGTAATTCTGAGTGTTTTTAAGACACTAAAAGTTTACCCTCAACATTTGCATAATGTTCACCATCAAAATTTTTATTAAAAAATATGGTTGAAAACGACAAATCAGTTTGCTCACCTGAGCACAACTTCTCCTGGAGATATTGTGATCAAACATCATCTTGCATCTTCAACAATTACTTTAAATGACATCTCCTCTAAAACCAATGACCCGTGGGTGTCATTGGTTTTCCTTATATGTATAATTTATATAGTAAAATCTTGAAAAATCTTGTTTGAAGATAGAAGGCTTAGAACATTGACTAGATATTTGGTATATTTCATTCATAGGTCCTCTACGAAAGTTGTTCAATTTTTACCCCTAGTGTCAAAATTTACCCCGTCCTGGGGTATCATAGGTTTTCTTTATATGTATATATAATAAAAACTTGAAAAATCTTCTCCCCTAAATTGACAAAGGCTAGACATTCAAATTATACCCCTGGGGTCAAAATTGGCTCTGTCCCAGGGGTCATAGGTTTTTGTTTTATGTTTATAGTAAAAATTTAAAAAATATTCTCTGAATAGACAGAGGTTTGAGGTTAGATATTTGGCATGAAAAATTGGGTAGTGTACCTTTACCAAGATTGTTCAAATTATAGCCTGTGGGTCAAAATTGGCACCGCCCCTTGGGTGTCAGGTTTTCCTTATATGTATACAGTAAAAACTCAATAAAATCTTCTTGTCTGAATTAACATGGCTGTGGGCTTAGATATTTGGTATATAATATCATCTATAGGTCCTCTACCATAGTTGTTCAAAGTTTGCCCCTAGTGTCAAAATTGGCCCTTACACAAATAACAGTATGTCATCGGGTGAACGCTTTGGGGCTAATGGCCCCCTTGTTTTCTAGACTTATGGTTCATCAAGAAATGTTGTCAGAAATACATTGCCATGTGTACAAAATTCTTGATTACAAGAAGCACATGAATATTTGCACATATCAGGTTAAAATGTGACAAAAACTTTACAGAAATGTTTTTAACATGAACAATGTGACTTCATGAATAAGATTGCACATTGTTATGTGGCAAATACTCGTAAAATTGACTGAAAAGAACTAAAAAGCGTGACTTTTTATTTAAGATGAATTTCACTGGAGAACGCTTGTCTTGCATCAATTCATTTAGTGGAGTTCAATCTGATAAAAATAGCGGTGTTATACTTTCATGATGTATTTATATAACATGAAAGATTCACAAGTACACCGATATAAACGTTATGTTTCCGTTTCCGGTTAATTTTAACGTGAAAAGAAAAACTTTGGTAATTTCTTTATGACATCCCTTTCCTGGAGGAGGCGGAGTTTCGAAGTCACATGCTTATGACATCACAGGAAAACAAGATGGCGGCTTCAAGAACGGATGCGCGGGAAATTGTCCAGCAAAAATATCATTTTTCTGGTGCAAACTCCCTTCAAAAATTGGAAGACGTCATTTTCCAACATGAAAAACGAACAAACTCTCTTTTTGTAAAAGTTAAGACCACAAATAAGCTGAAATTACCCGGTATGTTCAATCTATTATTGTCAATTTTGTGAGAAATATTTAATACTGAAAAGCGAAGGGAATAAATACGCGGAAAGTATTACTGGACACTCCGGGACCCTTCATCATGGTTCATGACTATTCCCACTATATTGAGAACTGTCTGTATTTGTGTATTTGTGCGATATTTGCATGCAGTTTTCTGCATTTTATTCTTTTAAAAAATATCTGTTTTTTCATTAATTTTAAAAAATGGGCAGACTACTGTAGGTACAGTAGTCTATACAGGTAGTCTATACAGTTTGTTTACCAGTCAGCCCCCTTGAAAAAATCTACCAGCAATTTTGCCATTACTAAAATTTAAAAGCTTCAACATGCGAGTTGATTCTGCTTAAGCCGGTGCTAGGGGGCGTGGACGGTAATTTGCACTTTAC